AAGACTGTTCTGCGCAAGTCGCACGCTGAAACTATTGAATGCGGATCACACTCTTACACACGAATTTGAAAAAGGCAGCTATGTGGATAAAGTACATACGTCCCTAATAATACCTGAAGCATGTCACTGGCTAAACTCAAGTTGACAGATTTTTTCAGGCAAAAGGTGTTCAGAAAGCGATCCAAAACCGGCCGCGCGTGCGCGATGCATAGTGTCAGAAGAAAATGAACTTTAATGTATTGCCTATTTTTTACTTTTATACAAAATATAGATTTCTTATCTCGTAGAGGCAACTAAAACTGACCATGAAAAGCGCTCGTAAAACAAAAAAAAATGACCATTCAATAGGAAGACCAAGAAAAGAAACATCAGGAAGGCAATCACGCATCAAGAAAGAATTCTGTTCAACTCGAATTCATTTCCAATTTGTTCATTAGGATAAGTTAATGTTGTGGGACAAACAGTAATTCAGAAATTTAAAACTAAAACACACCTTATTTTTTTTGGGCGGGGGGATGCACAAACTACTATTATTTTCTTATTTGTTATCTGTTCAACAGGGAGTCTCACCAACTCACGGACCATCCCCGTAACTTCTAAACGGTTCACGATATTCGAAATGTAGTTTTCGCCAACAATGTTGAAAATGCATGAGGCAAGTAATGTGCTTGGGAATATTGGTTCAAAATAATTGTAGTTCCCTCGAAAATTTAATTTCATCATTAATTTTTTAAATGAACCAGTATTTATCTCACTAGCAATAGATAGATCAATAAAATAGACGAATGCAATGATGTAACACATGTTAATGCTTTGATAGTATTTTGAGAAGAAAATTATTGCTTTCCGCCATGGTGATTTTAAATTAAATATATAAGATTTCAACTGCAACATATACAACCCTTTCAAACGGTCCTTTTGGGAAGGGTTGCCTTCGAAGTGGGGGCACTGTTTACGGGGAGAGGGGAGAGGCCGCGAAGGTCACGTTTCGCCCAAAAGCGATACGTTGCGACGGAGCTACAGAAACAAATTGCCACGTTTAATTTAAAATATCAGTCCATAAAAACTATACATTTTATGCCACAAAACACAATCAAAATATTAGGCAATATTACAGCATTGGCATTCCTGCTTTTTAAGATCTATCTATTGCCTAGTCGGAAAATACATGGTTCTATTTAAAAATCAAAGATAATTAAATTTGTCAAAACTAAAAATATTTCAAACAATATCTCTACACATAATTAAATTGCCGCATGATTCGCATAAGTTATCTCTCTCAACAACAA